ATAAACATTAGCTGGATACACCTCAGAGAGATACAGTGTCATCCTATAGTGACCATTTTGACAAGCTAAATGAAGACAAGAACAACCATCACCATCCACTGCTTCAAGGAGCTTCTCATGATTTGCAGTACCAGTGGTGGCTGATAAGAGGGAAACGACTGTATTAACGTGACCATTAGCTGCTGCTAAGTGTAATGGAGTCTCTCTCTTCTCATTAATTGAATAAATATCAATATTAAGAGACTTGTAAGCTCCTGGTATAGTAGACACTATATCAGGATTACCCTGGCTGCATGCTGCATGAAGTGCTGTGTTACCATTGCTATCTGCCATGTCTACTAATTCTACACGTGGTTTATTGTAGCTTGGACTATCCAATAGATATTCTACTATTTCCAAGTGACCCTCTTGAGCTGACAGATAAAGTGGAGTACGACCAGAAGCATCAGTGATATCAGGATTACAGTAACGACCATCAACGAAAAACCTCAATATGTCCAAAGACCCTCCCTTTGCCGATATGTGTATTACGTTAAACCCTTTATCGTCCAGTATAGAAATGTTGCAGTTTTTACTGTTGAGGTAACGAATGATGGGAAGGTTCTTAGAGAAAGCTGCAATAAGTAGTGGAGTACGTCCAAAAGAGTCGGTCATGTCAAGAGATAATGGTGAATGGTCTATAATGTACTTGACTATACTCAATGATCCTTCTTCACAGGCTACATGAACTGGAGCCATGCCATTGTAATCTTTAATAGTAAGATCCAACTGATGCTCCTCCACTAGATGTTTGAGTATAGAAAGAGAATGACTTTTACATGATAAATGAAGAACTGTTGATCCATTTGAAGTTTTAGCTGATACGTCACACTGAGGAAGACTAGTGAGGTAGAGAACTGTAGCAACATGTCCTTCCTGACATGCTATGTGAAGGAGTGTAGATTGAGTATTATCAGTGGCATTAATATCAAATGAATAACTGCTTAATAAATGCTTTAAGCAATACAAACGGTTGAATTGTGCAGCAAGAAAAGGTAATACACCATTCTTAAATGAAACTACATTGATATGATACTCTTGTCTGAGCCATTCTAGTATATGAACATGTCCATACATCACTGCAATTTCTAGTGATGATGAACTGCTGAATATTCCAGGATTAAGGTTGTATTGTTTTATTAATAAAATTAAAAGATCAAGATTACCAGAGGAACATGCCCATGTGACACAAGCATAGCCATCCTTACTTTCAGTAGTGGTATCACATTTCATTACATCAATTAGAAATGTCACTAGTTGTATTACACCACTAGCACAGGCATAATGAATTGGTAGAGCATCATTATCATCAGTAGAATGCAATAGACTATTATATTGTGGATAATTATTAATAATGTATTTATTAAATATAAAATAACTATTCACTGTAGAATAATGAAACACATTCATGTTGTATGCTCCCCCTACTCTATCCAAATCACATCCACAATCTTTTACTAAATACTCTAAGACATCAATAGCACCAACTTGAGCTGCACAATGAACTGCTTCCATACCATCACCATATTTAACTTGAGGATCTAGTTTATATTCATTAACTAATAATTTAATTAATGACAGTTTAGTACTATATACTGCATGAAGCAATGCAAATGATGTGAGAGGCAATTGATGATTATTAATGAGGTATTGGACTAGCTTCATGTTACCACTTTTAGCACTATAATCTAATGCATCCCATTTATTATTATCTGTTATGTTAATGTCACTGTCTTGTACTTCAATAAGATATTGACTCAGATCAACGTTACCATGACAACATGAATAATGAAGTGGTGTTCTACCCTCATTACAGGTTATATTAATATCAATGTCAGTAGTATTCATAATATATTCTACTGCATTGATACTACCTGACATACAAGCTAATGCTAATGGTACTACACCTTTGTAGTCTGGTTGACTGGCATTCAAGTTATACTGAGATACAGTATAACTGAGTAGAGTAGGTGATCCTGATAAAGCAGCATAATGTACTGCAGACCGACCCTCATAATCTAATGAACTTGTATTAATACCATACTCCTCTAATACCTTCACTAATAATATACTACCACTAGTACATGCTAAATGAACCAATGATTGACCAGTAGCAGTAACAGAATTTATATTAAAATTATTAATGATGCTTGTCTTGAGGAGTGTAGACAAAAGGCTCACTCTTTTATGTTGTTTAGTAACATTTATATTTAGTGATATGTATTTATGCCACAAATTCTTGACCACCA